AGGATTGGGTTTTGTTGCTGTTTTTTTTTTTTTCTTAAGATTTATTTATTTGAGTTGGGGGGAGCAAGTGCGAACAAGGGGAGGGGCAGGGGGAGAGAGAGAGAGAATCTCAAGCAGACTCGATGCTGAGCAGAGAGCCAGACGCGGGTCTAGACCCCCTGATCCTGAGATCATGATCTGAACCGGAACCGAGAGTCAGACACTTAACCGACTGGGCCACCCAGACGCCCCTAAAGGGCCTCACCTTTTCTGCTTTCCTTCCTTTCATCTGTGCATCATTTGGAAAATGCAAAAGCACTGCTCCTGGGGTATGGCACGCTCTCCCTGCAGCCGTTTACCCACGAGCCCACGCTGGCATGCCAAGACCACAGGGTCCCCATCATGAGGGATCTATGTGATGAGCCCTGGGATCTCAGAACCAAGGAAAGTAGGGTTGGGACACCAACAATGCTTACGGGCTCTGATCTGGTCGGCTCTTCTTCCCCTGCATTAGTGCAGGAAACTATGGTAGAGATCATCTAAACAAGCAGATGAGCTTCGAAGCAAATTCCCTTTGCCTCTGAACGTGTTCTTTGATTGCCAGGCACTCCTTCTGCGTGAAGCTGTGTTAAGACAAGCAGAGGGGCAGGGGGTGGAGGGGGCGCCGAGGGGGAAAGGCCGGGGTTGGAGGGCTGGCTGGACGTGTGTTGGGATGGCTCCAGGACATACATGGAGACTCACGTCTCCAGTGTGTAGTGGTGACTGCTGACTGGTATCAGGTGGGAGCGGACGAGGAGAACTTTCTCCCCGCTCTCAGGTCCTGGCCTGACCACAGACTGAATTGGGCTCCCGGCTATTTCCGGGTAAGCTTGGGTGAAAGGCCCTTCATGACCGCGAGTCCGTAATAGCCTCTTCTGTTAGTAGAAGAGTCTGCAATGGCCTCAGAAAGGGCTGTTCAGGGGGCGAGACCTAGAAGAAGGGTACAGAAAGGGGGGCCTACTGGTTGTTTCCACAGCTTCGCCACTGCCTAGAGATAATCTTATTTTACCAGTCACTAAATGATTCTAACAAACCTGTTGCTCCAGTTCTTCCAATCACTTTCAAATCTTTGCAAGCACATGGATACTGGAAAAAACGTATCAGTTATCGTCCTAATCCACTCAACCAGGTTGCGTGCCCAACCCGATCCTGGGCAAGGCAGAGACCTGATGAACCGTTTTCTTGAGTCTGTCCTGTGCACAGCAACCAGGTAGACGGACAGCATTCACTGCACAGTTTAAGGGCAGGCCTCTGCCGTGCTGAACAAAAAGAACCAGAGGTTTCATTAAAAGTAAGACCAACCCCGATACCTATTCACAGCAGAGTAGTTTAAAAGGGCCCTGAAGCCAAACTGCCTTGGTTCGAATCCCAGCTCCCACACTTACTAGCTGTGTGATCTTGTGAAATTTGCTTAACTTCTGTGTGCCTCGGTTTCCTCATCTGTAAAAGGGGGCCATCACTCATAACATCTACCTCATGTTGGAAGGATATCAGGAGTTAAAAGGAACTTAGTACAGTGCCTGGTACCTAGAAGGGGCTTTATGAAAGTTTGTTAAAATAGATGTTTATAGGTGACGGCATACACAGCTGGGACATACTCAGCACTGTGGGCTTCATGACAAGACGACTGAAGGGTCATCAGGCCGTTCCATGCTCGCACAGAACACAGCTGATACCAGGGAGCAGGGTACCTTGGGCCTTGTCCACACTTAAAAGGATCAAAAAACATCATTTGAAACCTAATGGTAGCAGTGAGAATACTGGTAAGCTGCTAAGTGTTAAGATATTTTGGGGGGGAGTCTGGGCTTCCATGGTGCTTGTGACATGTGGATTGTTCTTTTCACCAATGTCCCTTTTCAGTGAGTGGGTCCCAGGCTCCATCAAATCACCCAGCACCAGACGCTGTCTGTCGTGTGGGTTAGGCCGAACTCAATAGACAGGAATGATAAAAACCCTGAGCAGGAGGGGGGGGGGGGGGGGAGGAAAGGCTTTCCTGTTCCTTGCTGGGCTAAAGAGAAACCCGGGGGCACCTCGGGGGGCCCCTGGCCTGCAGCGGTCCATGCAGTCTGAGCTACCGCGGCATACCGCCGCTGCATCTCACGCTCTGGAGCACCCCAGCCCCAGGCGTGTCCCACCAGTTTTCAGGGGCTCCCAACAACCTCAGTTCTGGCCAGATCTCCTAAAGATACTCAAAGCCTTCCCTACCCAGCCCCGACCTGGGAGCCTCAGGGCACCCGATGTGGGTTCCAAGTAGAAACCTGGGGTCCCAGCACTGCCCATGGCATCCTGAAGTTTGATTGGAAGCTGCGGGGCTTGGCAGAGCCTGCTGGCTGATAATGAGAAAGGCCCAGGCTGCCTGGGAACAGAGGGGCCTCTCCCCTTGCTCGAAGCAAAATGCAATGTGCCGTCCATCTCCTCTCTGGCATCTCCCCAGCCCTTCTCCGAGGGAGCTAAATGCCATGCTTCACCGATCGGTCAATAAGTCGTGTTTATTGAGCTGACAGGGTGTGCATACCAGGGTGTGGGAGCGGTGCAGAAAGATGGATGAGAAGGGGATTAAAAAAACAAAACAAAACAAAACAAAAAACCAACCCAAGACAAATGTTAGAATTTTGTATCAAGGAAAGGACCCTACACCTTCCTCCCCCATGCACGGTGGGGCTGCTCACCCTCTTTCTCCCTGCTGGGGGCCTGCTGGCCCTCCTCTCCCAAACACTCCCCCCAAGAAATGGGCACCAGGTTGACCCAGAACTAGAAAGCCCTTTTTTATGCAGTGCTGACCTCTAGAGGCTTCCAATTAAAAAGCATCCCAAAGGACCAACTTACTTTTACTGCTGTTTTTCCTCCATCTGTGCGGTTGCCATGTTTTCCTAGAAAATCAGGAGGAGAAAATGTCTCTGGCTCCCTTAAATGTTACCTAATAGGAAATGCCTACCCCATTCTTAGGCTGCCTAACTACAGCTTGCCCAGATTTTTAATAAATGTCAATGTTTTCTGCTCCCAAAGGGAAAAAAGTGGGTCAGAGATAGGCAAAGTATTTCAAAGTTACTTTCGTACTGCGGCTCTAAGAGGAAAAGTACATTGCCGACCATTTCCTGAGTTTCCAAAGTAATGCATGGCCTGGCCTGCCACAGGGAAAGGAATGTTCGCTCACCCCAACTCGGCAGGGCACCGGGCAAAACTATGTGCCAGCCCCCAGAGACACCCCAACCCCCCCGCATAGAGGCACAAGCCCGCCCCCTCCAGCCCCGGCGCAGGGTCCAAGCACTGGGTAGTGGCTTTAGTTTGGTTTACTTTGTTTGACTTCGACCCATTCATGTCCACAATGAACACGAGAAACAATGAAGCGTCCCACCCGACCTGACTTCCCTATGGAAACAAGATTCATTTCTAAAGGAAATGAGACTGCTTGTTACATCCCTAAGCAAAACACTCCAAATCTTCCTATTTTGTTACAGCTCTTTATTCCATATCATTGATCACAAAGAGAAGAAAAGTGTAGGAAGGCAGGAGAAAGTACTCCGGGATGTCAGCATTTGGGCTAATATACACCCACTATTTTGGCTGGGGTTTTTATTTCTAAAAGGGATTCTAAGGAAGATGGGCTCAAAATCAGAGAAATAGTTTTGCTAATGTCGGTTGTCCAGCCCCAGTTTCACGAGACAGCATTTTCCTTATAAACTTTGCTTCCCACCCTCCCTAACCGCACTAGCCAAGACAAGATACATTCCCCCAACGCTAGTGCCTGGAGGGAACTTGGAAATGAGTCCATACTCTTATTTTTACAGAGGAGGGAACAAAGGTGGGGGATGGGGAGAGGTGACACGCCAAGGGCCACATAGCTGGTCAGGAGGGAGACTGGGCTAGAACCATTTTCTTTCTTTTTTTTTTTTTTAAAGATTTTATTTATTTGACAGAGACACAACAAGAGAGAGAACACAAGCAGGGGGAGTGGGAGAGGGAGAAGCAGACTCCCCGCTGAGCAGGGAGCCCGAAACGGGGCTCGATCCCAGGACCCTGGGATCATGACCTGAGCCGAAGGCAGGCGCTTAACGACTGAGCCACCCAGGCGCCCCAAGGGCTAGAACCATTTTCCCCAGCCAACCTATTTCAGAGTGATTCACTGCAAAGGGGGAAAATGTGGGTCTTTCTAACACCAGCCCTGCGCTTAGATAAAGGAGTCAAGCTATATTTTATAAAGGTTATCTGTGCAAGTGATCAAATAACAGTAACAAAGAAATTCCCCCAGAAGAAAGGCTTTGTCTGGGGAAGATCATGCCACCACCCTGCTGAAGCCAGAATCTTTGATGAGTGAGGCTCGGAAGGCTTGCACACAGCCCACCACTCGGGTCCAATCTCTGACGAGAGCCACGTCCCAAACCGAGAACCACCAATGACGGTGGGTAACACACACACAAACCTCTATGCTGCGTCTGCTAAGGCAATCTCAAATCTCATCTAACAATCTGCGGAGACCTATTCATTTGGGGAAAGAAACTTGTTCTTAATCAAATAATGGGACTTACCACCAACTCCTGATTTATTCTTTAGATGCCACTGTTTACCGAATAACAATCACTGGGAGGACAGTTACGGGGAAACTGTGTCACACTGCCACAGAGTGACCACAGCTTTCTAACTGGTGCCACAGAATGCACATGGCACCTCCCTATGGGAGAAAAAATAGGCTCCTCATATACACACCTCAAGTACTGGTTTGAAGGAAGGCTGGGAAATCACTCACTAGCAGCCACATCAGAACAGATATGTGAATGTCTTCAATTACTAACATTTGAACCATGTCAGTGGTTCCCGAAACGACCTCCTCCCTCTCTCCCCCGCTGGCCGCCCCCACCCCCAACCCCAACACAGACAACCGCAGAACTAGCTGGCGGTCCGCATTCTCTGTCCCTCGTTTGTATCCCATGAGACACCCTCTGGACCAAACACTGTGGACGGAGTAAAAAAGAGGCAAACATCACCAGAGTTTGGAAGGCTCTTTAATAGCAAGCGTATGGTAATTACATTGGTGGATGAGATCCTCACTCTCTGGGGAGGGAGGATGGAGCAGATGTGGACAGGGTTCAGTTTAGGATTTACACTGTTTGAGGCATCTAAAACAAAGGGCAACAGTTTTTTTGGCAACCCATTTCACAGTTTTGTCATTTACAAGAGATTTCTTGGAAAGGAAATATAAAGGCAAAGAAAACATCCACACCCTGCATGAAACATTTTTGCCTAAGGAAAAAGAACCCCAAAACTGTTCCTTGATTTTGTTTCTCACATGGATGGCTCAACTCTGCTCTCATACACAAACGAAGGCTGGCTCACAGATCGTTTCCGATTTTCCCAAGAACTGACAATTTGCTTTCTCCTCTAGAAAGGTGACGTGTGTACGCAGGACTGCTGCGTCTTTATCTGCCTGGCTATCAGAAGGTACTCAGAGTAAAAAATGTAAAAAATGACTCTTAAGAAACAAAAACAAAAGAAAGAACCAGGGAAAGGCAGTTGTGCAAAGAACAGACTATCTGCTTTCTCGGTGGGCCTGAATCACTTGAATACAGTTCTTAGTAAATGAAGTGTTTATTTTGATGCGGCTTGGCGCTTGCCTCCAATGGCTTGGGTCTATTCAGCCACACAGTGCCGTAAATGAGGCTTCTAACATGTGATGCTCATGGGTCCTCTATTTTTGTAATACAAATTTAAATAAAAATATCAATGACACCATCTTGTTTAACGGTTTACCCAGGGGGACGGGAGCTATAGATATTTACCACGGACCCCACGTTGCCATGGACACCAGAGGCTACGGGCATCCCGGCAAGTTGTAGATGTTCTAAATAACATCTAAAAGACTGCAGCCTTTCAGGTCATACCTGGTGTCACAAAACCAAGATAACTAATTGGCTCTTTGTGGAAGAGGATTCATGTTTCATTCAAAAAAAATAAATAAATAAAAATGTTAGGCTTCTCTGGTAATCTGAAGACTAGTAGGCAGAGCCCCTCTTTGGGGTTGACAGTCGCTATAGGGAAGAGGGATCTGCGATCCACTTGAGTTTTAACTGTGCTCTTTCTACAGCCCTGAAGCAAGTGGAGTAGGCGGGCTCTGCCGCCCAGCCCCCGAGGGCATTCCTGACCCATGGCCTCAACCACACTGAGAGCAAGTTCAAGTCTGGTTCACCTGCCACCTGCCAGGTGATTGGAGCCCGCAGACGTGGTCGCACTTGGGAAAGACGGGCTTCTCTGGCTGACAGCGGGTTTACTGAGGGAAACCACACCAGATTTGCGGGACACCTGCTGTGTCCTTGGCTGTGGGGCATCTGTAGAGCCACAAATCCATCCCCAACACGGGCCTTGCCTCTCAAAGTGCAGGCAGCCCCTTTGAGTAAAGCCAGCTCCTAGCGGGACAGCCGTGAAAACAGTTCTCCTGTCGCGTACATAATACCTGTCTTCCGGCTTCTTCTTTTCTCTCTTTTTTAAAAGAATTAGACCCTAACTCTCCCATTCTCCCTTTCTCATCTCCTCCCACCCCAGAGTAAGTCCTGCCTATTCCTATTCCTGCCTCCTGAACCATGGGAAATCAGATTTGTTCATATCAGTTTCCCAACTTGTGAATTTTAATATGCAAGGTAGATTTCTAAAATATAAATTCCAGCAATGCTCTGGAAGCATAGCTCCCCGAGGTCCACACACTTTGTGCTCTTATGAGACAGACACAATCTTTAGAGATGTCGCTGTGCTGGAGGAAAAGTTTCCATTTGTATGTGAAAAATGACCGTAGCCATGAGAGGAGAGAAATTTTTCACTTAAGGACCCCGGAAACCTAATTCTGGCACCAGGACACAGGGAAAATTCCTAAATATGAGACTTTTCATGTTCTAGTCATATAAAAAAAAGAAAAAAACCCAAAGTCCTACGTACTGCACGAGCCTGGGAGACGTGAGTGTAACAGAGCCGGAGTGGTGGCGGGTGTCGTGTGGGGTCCCACCTCGCTCCCTAACTCATCCTCCGGTTCCCCAAAGTGTGCTCAGTATGACTCTCAGGCAGAGCCAGTGACTAGGCGGCCATAAGAAAAATGTCTCTGTGATTCACTCAAGCCCAGGATCAAGGTTTGGTAAGGTTATCACAGGCAGGACTTCACGGCTGGCCCACAGTGATCAACAGGCCATCAGTCATCCCCCTCCCCCCAACGTTCACACACACTCACACGCTCTCGCACACACACACAGTCTCTCTCTTTCACTCCTCGTTCTCTCTCCTGGATGACATGACAGAAAGTCAAAGTACTCCCCTTTCACTCTCTCCCAGCTCTTCTTCATGCAAACTCCCTCCACTTCCAAAGCCGCAGTCTGTCGGGGCACAAGGGAAAGCCACGCCTTCAGCAGACAGAGCCTGCACCTCTGCGACAAGTCTGTCTCTGCATCTCTGAGGCCTGACATTGTCCTCCGCCTAAGGAACGGGAAGTCATCAGCCCCTCAGGATCAGGCTCGAGGGGGTCCAGACACTCACAGACCAGCAGAAACATATTCTAAGGTAGTCCTGTGGCCAGCACGCTCAGGACTGCCTCCCGGCAAGATTCAAAACGTATTTCCTTCTCCTTTCCCTAAAAGTTTCCTTGACTGTTGCTCTTAGTACACACACACCATAAGGCAGGTAGGGAACGACAGTGGTGAAAGCAGGAAGGGCAAACAGCCCTTGTTTCAGGGGAGTTGGGGGACTTGCCCAAGGTCACGCAGTCCCTGGTAGAGCCAGGGCTGGAACCCAAGTCTCTCTCCCAACTCCCGGGTCCATGCTCTTCCCACCGCACCACACTGCCTCTTTGTAAGTGTTCATCTGTTTGTGAAAGTCAGGAATTTGTCAAACCACGGAACCTCTTCCCAAACAACGCCGGCTGCCGGCTGCCCGCTTCACTGCCCACGGGAGGGGGGAAGCTCTGCGCCAGGCGAGCTTTAATGCCACCCACAAGCCGAACAGCGAACCCACGGCCGGTGGGAGGGAGCGCGGGCACGGGCATGTGCCGCAGCAAGGGCAGCCGGGGAGGTGCCCGCACCGTCAGAAAACAAGGAAGTTTTGGAGGAAACGGTGCGATTTGCTAATGCCTTCCGGGGTTTTGCCATGAAAGTAAGCAACACACAGTACTGTTATCCTCAACCCCTGGGGCAGAACAAAGACGAGATTTCTCCTCAGCCCACTGAATGGCTGAGTTGATCTCAGTTCAATTTTTATAAATAGAACATTAACATAATAATACCAAAATGCATTTGGTCAAAGCCTAAACGCTTTTTCATAAAATACATTTTATATTAATGTCTGTTCCATTTGCAAACATATGTAAATTGAGCTTTTAAGCCTCTATGTATAAAATTCCAGTTTACCTTCAAATGGAGCAAGCTAGTCAAGCTTCTTCATCCCAGTGGCAGAAGTCATTCTTTCAGCCTATTGTGTTAAAACAGAGGTTACCAAACCCGAGTGCTATCTACAGAATGCAGCTCACAACTACCTGCGCTCAGGTACGGAGCCAATGGGGACACAGGCAAGGGAGCAAAGCACAGAATATGCTCACCCCGCTGGATGAAACATCAAGGTTTGCGGTGGGAATAGGCTACTCGGAAGGAAATTCATTTCACTTGAAATTAACCTTCAATACGCTTTGCCAAGAAAAGAAAAAATGTGGGTACTGAAGCATGGATGGAAACCACTGTACGTTCCCCACCATGACTTAAAACGCCAGTACCCTGTTCTACCACAAGTAGCCGCACTCTCCATGGCACCAATCAATCAAGCAGAAAATGGAGAGATCACCAGGTTAATACTGACATGCCTGGAAGCTCCACAAGACTCCCAGAAACTCTGTGCCCGCTGCTGCTGTTTTTTTGTTTTTTGTTTTTTAAAGTCCCAAACTATGACAACCTAACAGGCATGTGTATGCATGTTAAAAACATTCCCGCCCCAGATGCTATGTTTAGTCAAGGGTTGTGAAAGAGGCATTCCGCTTTGAGAGATCCAGAAGGGTCCAAGAAAATGAATACTTTAAATAATTCCACGTTAGCATTACAAAGGACTTCCCTTGTAAGTATTTGTTGGCTAAGTAACGACAACAGTGTTTCCAATTATTAAGTAGCTGTTTCTGTGAGTTGTCTTAGTATTTTGATCATTGAAACTTCCCATTTGAACCAAGCTAACCCACGACTGCAAGATTCCCACTTTCATATCGCTTTAAAAATTCACTACAGTTAGGTCCCTCCAAGGACTTGATTACAGTTTTTTAAATAAATTATACAGTGGGATCCTTTTCTTGACCTTTTTTTTTTAAGGAATAAAAGACAAATTAAGAAATTAAAGAATTCCATCATATGTTTGAAAAAATTTTATCCTGGTTTATTTCCCCCATTAAATTTATCTACGGCTTCAAAGTTTAAGTGGCACTTGGATTCTGAGTGTTTTCATGATTTAACAAGTTGCCATCCGGTTATAAAGAGAGAATGTAAATGTTTCATTTCACATGTGGGACAGTTTATAGAGATTTTAAAGAAATCAATCATTTGTCACCCCATTGATATTTTCCACTATTAGATTTCAAAAGAGGCTTTGGAATTAGCATGTTTTAAAATAACTGAACATGCAAAGTAATGTTTATACTAACCATGAACCAGCTGCTATCTATCCAGGTAACTTAGTAATGGCAGGACACTTCAACAAAGGCTTCTCTGCCTCTCTTCCCCTCTTCATCCAAAGCTAAGTGATTATCCTTTTCTGCCCTTGTATTTGCACTTGTGCCGTTTCATGACTAGATATTAAAACTCATGCTTTATAAGCAAATTCCTTCACTCATGGACATTTAAAAAGTACATAAAAAGTGCAGACTGCATTTCTTCTCTGTCATGCTTTCCCTCAATAATGTCACCTTTGAGGACTCAAAACATATCCTTAATACATTCAGAGTTCTCTACATTCGAGTCAGGTAATGTTAGTTCTCCAACACAAACTCAAGAGAGAACAGTCAGCCACAAAATGGACTCTAAATTCAAAATGGCAAAGGCTACCGAGACAACCCCATAGAAACCCACTGAAACGGGAGTAAAATTCAGGTCACTTCTGAGCAAAGCTCATCCCAGATATTTTGCGGTCAATAAAAAGGTACCTAGTTTTAATTTGGATGCTGGGAGTCAGACGTCCTGTTTCGAAGTGCTAATGCAAAAATGCTAACCCAGGAACACGCAACCCCACCTCAGGTACCAGGGGGTTCACTCTCCTTCTCAGGTGGGAGCCCTCGGAAGGTTACTGCTGACTGACCCCCATTTGGGGGTGGTCTGCTTCGGGCTCCTCCTCTTCCACATCTGCACTGTACTCTTCAAACGCATCATCGTCTGCATCCGGAAGCCCCAGTAACTATAGAGGAGAGAGAAGAGAACCAGCCATGAGTGCCAAATGGCCCATGGGCAGCAAGATAACCAAAGACATCGGATCTAAATTCAACAGCATTTAACAGGACTTAGCACAGCAGCTGTGGATTTCCCACGGGAGTCAACCATCCCTACAACTATTTTTATGAACATATTAGATGGGAAATGTCAATCCTTCAATGGATTGGTGCCCAAAGGGCCAGGTTTTATTGGGGAGCCTGGAGACTCTCTACTTTTAAGTATCAAAACATGGCCCCACAGACCACCAACGTAGAATAATATAGTATGTACGCGCGCACGCGCGCGCACACACACACACACGGGATGTCAGCCATAGTACAATGAACAGTACTGACTGTTCCATCAAGATGTCAAAAATCTATCCCCCTCTATATTTTCTTCCCAAAAAACATGTGCTGCTAGTATTTATAACACATATGTAAAAATGTGAAAACCACTGAAATGTTTTATTTTTTGGTTAAATTACGGTGCATCTGTAAAATGGGATCTTATATACCTATTTAAAATAGAATTTTGAGTAATTTGATTAAAAACATGCTCATAAGTGTAAAAAGAGCATGGTAAAAACTGCATTTTCATTACGATACAGATTTTCTTAAAATTTATACACAACTCCATAGCAAAAAAGACTTTGAATGAGATACATCCAAATTTTAAGAGTATTGATTCAGGCAGCGTGGTTATGGGTAAATTTTTTCCTTTTTATCTTTTTGTAAAATTTTCCAAAGGCTCTATAATTATCATCGGGGAAATTCACAACAAATACCCAGGAAACATTTTCTTAAAGCACTGATTGGTCTTTGCTTGGAAACAAAGTGCCGTTTGCTGGGCCCGATCAATATGAATGAAAAGCCAGCTCCTCCATCCGATTTAGTCTGCGCGTGGCCCTGACATTCTCACATGGTGGCCCCCTCGACTGGTCACTTTCAGGCAACTTCACTGAATGGCCCTGGGACCCAAGCTAACTGCCTGAAGCCCCTACAGTAAGATGGACCATTCTGTTTGCTTTGCATTGCCTCCCCAGTGCCCTGCGACCCCTCCCCTTCTTCCCATCCCCTGCCCAAATGCTGACATGAGGAAACCCTAGGTCCCAATCGAAATAATGCTTTTCCCTTTAAGTTCTCCAACCCCAACTCCTGCGGGTCTCCCAGAGCCCTATGAACACACTCCGGACAAGATCATCTGCCAGGCCCTTGGTCATATTCTACATGGGGCCTGGCAAGCCAGGCATGACCAGCTGTAGACACACGCTTTCCCCTTCGAGCCCAGAGGACCGCAGCTGTCTCAAAGGGCCACTGTTGACTCGGAGGGGTGGGGAGGGAGGAGCGCATCTCCGCTAGCCTGGACAGCGTGGAGCAATCTCATGTGTGCTTGGGGGAAGCGAGAAGCCCCTTTCTCCTCCTGCTGTCACCCTCTCACATCTCGGTGGAATGAGCACAAGGTAACATTCGTCTCTGAAGAGAGAGAAAAGATGGCTACAACGAACACAGATGGCGAGTATTTTGATGTTCCATTTTTTATCTGAAGAGCTGCTTGGTGACACAGCAAGGTGAAAGTGTCGAATGAGTGATGATATTCAAATTGCTGATAAAACAAGAAATATTGTTGCCCCTACCGAGAACCCCAGAATCACCTAGATGCCAAGAGAGGACGCATTAATTCAACAATAAATGTGACTCCTCACTGCACTGAAGGGATACCCCTTAAAAGAGGAATGGCCAATGGGTTCCCTCTCACTTAACAGATCTGAGGGGTAGCGGCTGTCTGGAGCCCTGGGTTGAGGATTCCAAGGCTCAGTGGGAAAGACTGTGGTCAATTCGCCATGCAGCCATGGGTAAAGAGGACAGTCGAGGCACACATCTACACAATTGCCGTCCTGTCCTAAAGACACATACCACTGGTTATTCTTTTTCATGATACACTTGAGTAATTCACACGGGCCCCAACCATAGGTACCCCTGAACACCCTTCCTCTCCTTGGCTTAGGGTGCTCTGTAGAAGAGGTCCCAGTCAGCCAAGTATGAAACCATTACCACTTCTCTTCTGCCTAGCTCCCCTTCCCTTTGCTGTGAACCCAAAGCACATAGTTTCAGGTCTAGAGCATCAGCACGTGTAAAGCCCTTCCCTGGGATGCGATTTCCAGAACTGCCCACTCCTGACCCTTCCAGGAGGACGAAAGAACAGAAGCAGTTCTCTCTGGCCTTCCCCACTTCCAAGGCATCATAGTGCAGGGTCTGCAGACTCACTGAGAGGCTGTGTGGAAAAGGCACTGGACCCGGCATCCAGAAGCCAGGGCTCTAGTTGGGGACCTCTGCCAAGCCACTTCCTTTGCTGAGCCTCAGCATCCCTCTCTGTAAAGTGGGAACCATGACACCTGCTCTATGTCCAGAGAAACTACGGAGAGGAAATGAGAAAGTGAATGTGGCCATGGGCTGCAAGCTGTAGAGCCTTAGGTGAATTCGCGAGTTAGGTCCTATTATCTTGGCTTCTCGTTTTAAAGCACAGCAGTTCAGTTATTCAAGGGGAGATGGCCTCCAGCCCCTGCCTCTCCCTCTCCCTTCGGCTGTGCTGCTTTTGAACAAGCTCACTGTTAATCAGTATACAACAAGCAGGAAGAGGAGTAAGAAACTCAACTCTATTAGCCTCCTCACTTGATTCTCAGACTTACAGCCAGCGTGCCATTCAACAGATCAACCTGGTCATACTTCAGATTTAATAATGATAGTTAATATTGGTTATGTTACTGTCTGCTAGGCACGGAGTTAGGCAGCCTTACATATACTAATTCCGTTAGTCTTCATGACAGCCCTATGGGGTAGGTATTATCCCCCTATTACAGATAAGACCTAGCGAGGCTGCGTAAGTTGCATAGAGTCCCTTAGCGTCAGAGCCAGAATTCAAACCCAGGCCACCAGATCACAGACTACAACCTCACCCACCAGGTACCCGGGAGATTCCTTTCCAGCTGCCAGGGCTGTTCCTACAGCTGGAGGCTTCAATGTCTTCTACTGAGTAACACACCCTTTAAAAAATTCAGTGCGCAACGTTAATGTCTACATTTAAAGTATGTACAATTGAGAAAAGCACAGAGGAGAACAGAAAAAGCACTAGAACTATAATTTGCCTGGGATTGCAAAGAATACTATACAGACAAGTAATAACCCAGCATTCCCACCTCTGTCTTTAGTCCCATCTATGGCAGGTTAAGTTGACATTTAACTTCTGGATCCATTTTTTTTTTTTTTTTTAAAGTAGGCTCCACACCCAGCGTGGAACCCAACATGGGGCTTGAACTCACAACCCTGAGATCAAGACCTGAGCTGAGATCAAGAGTCAGATGCTTAACTGACTGAGCCACCCAGGCGCTCTTGGATCCAAATTTTTAAGAGTCAAGAAGATATGCCAAACACAGGAATACAAACAGACTGGTAAGGATTCTGGGGTTCTTGCTTTTACTGCATGTATACATTCTTATAAAGAAAAGGATACAGGCCAAGAAATCCTATCTGATATACTTAAATTACTTTAATAGTCATAATCATTAATTCTATTCAGTAAAATTTTTTCACTTGACTGGAAAATCTTTATGCTAACCCTGAACAATGGTGTTGACATTTCCAGGGGTTTGCTGTGCATGAAGGTGCCTTTGGGCAACTTATGATCACATAAAAACTTCTGGGGCCCATCCACCCAAACAGGGTTGTACTTGAAAGGTAGAAATGCCAATGCTTGAGAATGAAAGTTCTTTAGACCCAGGAGAATATCAGTGATCTTCAGGACTCACTCCAGGTCTTTGAGAAAGTGGGGTAAACTAGCTGAGGACACATTTAGTTGGCATTTCGCATCTGCTGTCTCCAAAGGTGGCCCTCGCTCAGCACAGGGAGCTAGAGTGTGTCTATGGAAGAAAGGGAGAGGACGTCTCTGTTTTGGAGGGCACAATTAGCTAGGGTGCTTTTAGCAAGTGTCTTATGACTTCAGAGGTCCCTGGAAGCTCCTTCCAGAGGACTCCTTGGAGTACTTTACTATGTATGTGATTCACCCAGAGATCTACTTACAATGTGGATTGTGATTCAGCTGGTCTCAGGTGGGACCTGAGATTCTGCATTTCTAACAAGCTCCCAGGTGATGGGGATACACTGGTCCAAAAACATACTCTGGATATTAAGTATTACCCTAGAGCTTTGGGGAATTTGCCACTGTTTATCTTAATGATCAATGATGCTGGGGGTACCAAGAAACCTACAACGAGATCCTGGTCAGTCAGTCCGAAAAAAAGGAGAAAAAAGGGGTAGGTGGCAAGATGGATATAAGACCCAAATGGGCAAGACGAGTAAGTACTCTCTTACTTTCAGGAGCCATTGTATTTCCTAAAATACACACACGTTTGAAATTTCATACGTGAGCAGAAAACAAAAGCTATGATAAGCTTATCAACATTCAATGTCTTTTACTAAAACCCACATGAGTGCATAATCTTTTCTTATCAGACTTTCTGACCCACTGGGGCTTCCCACAGGTGGATTCTTTCTCTTCTTTCAGGCTCTTAACCAGACGATAAGAGTAGAAGCAAGAACTGGACTTTTTCTGGGTCACAAAGGGTTTTCCTGTGGGGTTTAATCCCTGGTTCCTCACCCATTACTGGTAAACTGAAAATATTAATCTTGCTCAGGCCCACGAGCTAGAACTAGGGGAATTTTGCTGGTAGAAAGAAGTGTCTGTTTTTTGAGAGAAAAAACATGGAGCTGGAACAGCAACCCCAGGGAGGGGACCAGGGTCAAAGAGAGCAAGAAACCATGGGGAACCATGGGCTCTAACTCCACGTAGGGCCATCAAAGCAACATCAACCGAACAGCACACAATGTTGTTATAACAGATGCCTCACGACCCTAATGTCCACAGCGCTAGTAAGAGGAGGAGGAGTAATAGTCCAAGATAAAATAAAATAAAGCTTTGAGAAAAACTGAA